TGGTCAAGTGTCCCTGAGTTCAAACCCTGGTTACCCACCACAAAAAAAAAAAAAAAAAAAAAAAAAAAAAATTCTGACCCATTTTGAAAATCATAAGAGTATATCAGCTTCTTTTATGACAATCACCTATCAACATGTGTTAGAAATTCAATGGAAGTTTCCAAAAAATAACTGTCAACATTTTATTTGTAGTTTAGTAATGCCAGATATATGTCAATTAATCATATGCCATTTTAAACTTAAGAAAACTGTTTATCTTGGGCTATTTAAGATATAAATAACCAGTACTACTAAATTGTTTATTTTAGATTATTAAAGACAAAAATAGAAAATAAGTTTGAGATTGTTTCTGTGGTAGAAACTTCAGTGTCAAAGATAAATTATTTTAAGATCAGCCCTTCTGAGGCACCTAAGCAGAGTAATAAGAATATGTCTGAATGGAAAAACATACTGTTTTTCTTGGCTAATGTGGCCAAGGGCTTTAAAAAATGTAGACTGAAGGGTATATGCTAACCTCTACTTTTATTCTTTTTAGTTTCTCATCTAAGCTGTTTCTTTTACTATAGAGGCAGTAGAACTAAACCTACATAATGTAATGCTATGTATGTTATGTGTAAATTCTTATGTCAGGACCAGATGGTTGCTTATATTTTTTTCTAACTTCAAAATTCTCTTCATTTCTACTTTAGTTCCTTCATTTTTAGAGATCAAGAAACAGATTGCATTGTTCAGAGAGAGCTAGAACTAGAACATAGGCTAATATTTGCTAGCCATTTGATATGACACTTTCATATTTTTGCCATATCCATGCTGATATTATTTAATAATATTTAAATTGACTTCTTTAAATGAATGAACTTTTTTTAAACAAACATTTTTGCTACTAAACATAGAAGTTATCACTTCTTTAAATAGAAAGTAACTCTGAGTAAAAATCCAATCAAAACAAGACAATGCTATTAAAATTTAATTTAAATTTAATTAATTAATATTATTAAATTTTTATTTCTTGCTGTTCTTGGTTCAGAAATGTGTCAAGGCAATGTTTTCATGTTTGATGGCAGCATCCTAATTGAAAAGAAAAAGCACAGTTAAGACCTCCAGTTAAGCTTCTGCATTCCTTTTTTAAATGGAATGCTTCTTAGGAAGGAAATAAGAGGATATAAAGACATGTTTATATGCTCAGCTATGTTGGGATATTTTTTGTCTTTGTTTTCTGGCTTTTACTGTGCTGGGGATTGAACCCAGTACCTTGCAAGTGATAAGCAAATACTCTACCATTGAGCTACATCCCAGCCTTCAATTATGATTTCATGTATACCAGAAAGAAGGTCTTTTGTGAGAAACAAAAATTGTTCTTTGGTTCATTTGAATTAATTTTTTAAACTCTTAAATTTTGGCATTGAAATTTTTAGTTAGCATCAGTTTCATTTTCTAAATAAGGAGTTTGATCAGTGTAGTTCATTTTTGCTTAAGACATTTCCACACAATGCTAACATCTGACAATTATGGTGACATAGCTATGTATTGATAACTGTTACCTAAATTTTAAACAATCTAATGAGTTAAAATCTTGATCAACAAGACAACAAGAATGAATTTATTTTGGAAGATGAGAGGTTTTTGGTTTTTTGGTTGTGTTGTTGTTGTTGTTTTAGTTCATTTGAACAGAGGAAATGTTTTCCTTAAAATAGTTTTAAGTATGCTTCATTTCTTTAAAATAAATCAGTATTTTTGAACTTCCAATAAAGTTAGCATATTTGTCGGATTGCTGGTCTAATAGTGTTGTATTGCTTTCAAAGGATTAAAGGTGTCAGAATAGCTAAGCTTTCTCTGATTTGATTTGATCTCATTGAACTAAATATTCTGTTCTTGCCTTCTCTCCAGAAGTGCCACTATTGTAGACTATATTTCAGTGTACTGTAGAAAAAGACATTTTTTTTTTATTCATGAGTTTCCTGTAAATCATATTGGTGGAAGTATAAAAACAGGAGACATTTATGGGCTAGGTAGTAATAAGAGTTTTATTGTGAAACCTTTGTAACAGTGTTCATCAGGAAAACCAGAGAGAGAAACAGATAAAGAAACTCATGGTCCCATTAATCCGTTAATGAACTAGACATGATAGTATTTGAGGATTTGTTTATATAGGGATGTTTTTATTTATCAGAAGTGTTTCTCTTTTGTTTTTCATACTTAGGTTAAATTTATATTTTTTAATTAAACTTTTTATTTTGAGATAATTGTAAATTCATATGCAATTGTAAGAAAGAATAGAGATTGTGTATCTTTACCCAGCTTATCTCAGTGGTTATGTCTTGCAGAACTATAGTTCTGTAAGAATATATATATAGCAGAATATCACAGCCAGGATATTCTTCTTAGGTTTTGGGGTTTTGTTTTGTTTTGTTTGTTTTTTGGCAGTGCTGAGAATCAAACTCAGTGTCTTCACTTCTTGCACGTGCTAGGCAAGCACTTTACCACTGAGCTACATCCCCAGCCACAGCCAGGATATTGACATTGATAGAAATGTTTTTTGTTTTTGTTTTTATCTCTATCACCACTGTGGCCCATCTGTTGGTCTTTTGTAACCCAGAACCATTGTCCTTTCTACTCATTTCATGAATGTTATATAAAAGTAATTGTTCATATGATCTTTGGAGTTAGCATTTTTTACTTAACATAAATAAGTAATGAGATTCATCCATGTTGTATTTATTAACAGTTTGTTCCTTTTTGCTGCTGAGTAGTATTCCATGATGTGTATATACTAATTCAATTATTCATTTAGTTAGAACATCTGGATTGTTTCTGTTATAAGGCTATTACAGATAAAGCTGCTATAATTATTTGTCTACGGATTTTTTATGTGTACATAAGTCTTCATTTAAACAGGTTTAACGCTTAGGAGTACAGTATTGTCTTTAATATTACCTACCTTTACATTTGCAACCAAGTGTTGTTTCTACCTTGAAAGGAAAGCTTATTATTTACTGGTATTTTTGCTACCATTTTCTTTGTTTGTTTTTTCCCTGATATTCCAAAGATCTTTCCTTTTATCTGTTTCTTTCTGTTTTGAAGATTTCCTCTAACCATTCTTTTATGGTCTATTGCTGGCAAATTCTTTTAATTTCCCCATCTGAGAATGTTTTAATAATCCTTCTCTATTTTTTGTTGACTATAGAATTCTCTGTCGACAGTTCATTCCTTTCAGCACAGGAAAAAATTATTAAACCAGTGTTCTGGCTTCTATGGTTTCCTATAAGAAGTCTGCTGTCTTTCTAATTGTTTTTTTCCAGATAAGATGTTGCTTTTTTTTATGCCTTGAAGATATTTTCTTTGCCTCTGGTTTTCAGAAGTTTAATTGTGATACATCTTGGCTTGCATGTCTTTAGGTTTATCCTGTGTGTGGTTTGTTCAGAGCTGTAATTTTATTTTTCTTTACAACTTTAAATTTTCAGTCATTATTTCTGAAAGTACTGTTTCAGCTCTGCTCTTCTCTCTTCTTGAAATTCCAGTGACAAAGTGTTAGATCTTTTGCTGTAGTCCCATAAATCCATAAGCCTCTGCCCATGCCCCCCCACACACCATTTTCTGTCTTGTTCAGATTGAGTAATTTCTATTATTCTCTTTTATTTTGGTTAATATATTTTCTAGTTCCAACATTTCCAGTTGCTTCTTTGTATCTTCTTTCTTTTCTGAAACTTCCTTCCCCGCCCCACTTGCCCCAAATGTGTTTTGTAACTACTGAAATATTTTTATCATGATTGCTTTTAACTCTGTCAGATAATTCTTCCATTTCTATCATCTCAGTTTGGGCATCTACTGGTTATCTTTTGCATTGTTTTAAATGTTTACAGTCTTGATATGATGAGTAATTTTCTTTTAAAACTTGGGGCATTTTTCATATTATATTCTAAGGCTCTGGATATCATCTAAACCTTCTGTTTCCCTGGCTTTTCCTGACATTGCTTTGACAGATTAATAGGGGTGTTTTATCTAATATTACTGCCAGGTTTATATGAAAGTTCAACTTCTCTGCTCTACCTCCATTGACACATGAGGACGGTCCTTGTTATTACTGGGTCATAGTGGAAATCCAAGTTCCCTATGTAGTCCCTACTGATAATGCTGAGGTAAGTGTAAGATGTACCTGGCCATTGGAGTGAAAGGCCTGTCTTCCTACTTGACCTACTCTAATGCTACCTCTGTGGGGCATTGGACCTCCTCCTTATGGTACCCAAAATGGAAGTCAAGTCTCCCCATTCAACTCTTGGTGGTGTAGTGGGAGGAGTATGTAGTATTTTCTGTAGGCTTTGATTGTAGTAGAACAATTATTATTGTCCAAGGTTTTGTTTTGGTAGGTTGCCCCTTTCTTGTTCCTTTAACTAGAAAGCAAGCTTTTGTTGTGCCTTTTCCTCCTCTGATATGTATTAGTTGACATATCCGGATTCTGGCTTCTGTAGCTCCGTGTCTGGAATGTATTAGTAAAAAAAGAAAACTGAGAGAACTCACTCTCAGGTTGATTCTTGGATGCTCGGGTTTCTACCTGTTCTGCCTCTTTCCATTTTTCATGTTTCTTTTCTTTTCCTTTCTTCTTCCTCCCTTTCTTCTTCTCCTTTCCTCCTTTTTCTCTCTTTCTCTTTCTTCCTTAATGGGGAATCAAGCCCAGGGCCTTACTCATGCTAGGCAAGTACTCCACCACTGAGCTATATCCCCAATCATTTCATGTCATCTTGCATTTCACATATGATGTCCAGAGTTTTTAGTTGTACTTTGTAGAAATAATAGAGGAAAGTACACCTCTATCTTCTGTAAATAGAAGGCCCAAATTTAAATTTGGATCCATTTGTATCAAATGTTGTAAGCAGAAAGTGTCACATACTTTATCAGATGATGACTTCCATACTACTGTTCTCAAAAAGACTGCTAGAAATTAATATCTTTATTTAGACTGAAATTCATTGTTCACATTATTAATGAAAACTTTTCCCCTCTAGGAGATAATGCAAAAGGTGTCCCAAGGCTCCTGACCAGTAAACAAAGATTTGAGAAAGACAGCCAAGCTCATGTTTTCTCCTGATCAAGAAAATCATCCTTCCAAAGCACCAGTAAAATATGGTGAACTTATTGTCTTAGGGTAAGCGTTCTACATCTGATGAGATATAAAATTGAATAATATATAGTAATTTTAGCCTCTAGGTTAAAAGTACTTTTTTTAGAATTTATATCTTACTAGCTTCCAAAGAGAAATTTAAAGTTATGGGGTAATGTTACCAAATTAAGAAACTTATAATGCTTACATTTATACCATTTTTGTAAGTGCTTAAATGATTCATAAACTTTATCTTACCCGTACCCTCAAAGAAGACAGTTTTCCTCCTCTGTCTCATCTTTTTGAAAATTTTACTTCAGCCATCTTTACCAAAAATTCCCTTCCTCTTCTCCTGCTTTAGGACATTTCATGTAAATGAGTGTTTATTTATTGTTTTGTCCCCAGAGGTAGTTGAGGCTTTGTGCTCTGTATTGTTGAAAGAAGTTAGGAAGACCCTGAAGGCCAGTACCTAGCTTACTTGTTTGCTTCAATAGTAATCTCAGTAATATAATTCCCAGAAAAACAGCCTATGGATTGAAGAATAGATTATTCCATTATTTCAATTTATTAAATATAAACTTGCCATAACTGTCAAAGTGGGGACATAATATTAATCTGTTAATATTGTGTTAATATTAATTCTAGAGATTCCAGAAACTAAAAATTGGAAAAATTTCCTTCCCACCTACTGTTTCTCTTCTTTTGCCTAAACAGCAGCTCTAGATACTGCTGTAAATTTGAGAGTCAGAATGGTATAAGTTCTTGTTCAAGTAAGAACATGTTGTTTCAGATGAGAAAGAGACACAGGGGAGATCCGTAGAGTTGTTGATCTTGACAGGGAATCTAGATTCCAGTACGTATTCCAACACTGTTAACTTTGTGACCTTGGGCAAGTCAACTGTTCTAGACCTTTGTTTTTCCTCCCCTATAAAATGACAGTGTGATAAGATGATCTAAGACCTTTTGAGACATTAAAATTTTTCCTATCAAAAACCAAATTTAAAAGATCATAAACTTAATATGGTAACTTCAATATTAGAAATTCAAGTCACATTGCTTTTAATACTATTAATGACAAACAGCTTTTAACTACCAAAAAAAAAAAAACAACTAAGTATTTTAGTGGGAAATTTGAGAATATTTGAAAAATAAGGGTTAAAATTTAATGTGTGGTTTTAAACTGCCTCTCAGCCTAGTAGTTTCTACTAGTAGTGGTCATTTCTGTATCTGGTACTTGGTGTCTTAAAATGCAAATAATGCTTCTTCCCAATTCTAGAAGAAGTGAAATTGGACAAGGTGTTCATTTCCTGCTGTTAATTTCTCTTAGAAAAGATCTTTGAATTCAGGAACACAATATGAGGACAGAGAGTATAGAACACAGAAGAGGAATGAGCCATGCAACTTAAGGACAGTAGTGAGGGTAAATAAGATGCCTACAGTGGAACTTGTGGCAACCCATAGCCTAGAATAGTAAATTTAACATATTAGCCAAGGGATTCTGCTTTGTACTGTAACAAGGCTAGCAAGAAATAGTTAGGACTTTCTCCCAGCACAAAATGTTTGTTTATTTTTTTATAAAGAACCAGTGTGGTTTCTGTATATGACAGTTACTGGGTAAATTACTTCTCAACTTTGAAACATGATTCTTCCTTTTCAACCATAATTGCAGGCCATTTTACAATCACTTTCTCCTCCAACTCCAGATCTGTCCCTATTCCCTGCCTCATTTCTGCCCAGATTGACCAACTACATATAGGAAATTATCAAACCAAAGATTTTATCAGAATAGAAAAGAGTGAATGAAGATATTAGCTGTTTATACATTAGTGAAGCAGTGAAGAATGACAAAAAAGCATAACAAACATACCCAGATTCAAGCTTTGGCTTTGCCATTGTCATGTGGCCTTCAGAAAATAATTCCTGAGTTTATTTCCTAGCCTGCAAAAATAGGGCCAGTCTTACAGACTATATTAAGTACCTACCATAGAGTGAACACCCAAGTGTTTCTGTTTGGATTTTTTTTAAAGCTTGTTTCCAGTTGTTTCAGTCCTTACTTAACTTGCTTATCTTCCGGGCATACATTTTTTATGAAAACATGGTTATAAGGCCTGAAAAACAAAAAGTATGTTTACTAGCTAGCAGACATCTTACACATACACACCATGTTGGCAGAGCTTGTCTATGTATGTGTATGTATTCAGGTAGCCAAAACTTATTGAAGAAATCTAAATAGTTCTTATTTTAAAAGTTCAAGTAGGTGCTGGGGTTATGGCTCAGAGGTAGAACACGTGCCTAGCAAGTGTGAGGCACTGGGTTCGATTCTCAGCACCACATAAAAATAAATAAAGATATTGTGTCCATCTACAAGTAAAAATATTTTTTAAAAGAAAGTTCAGCTATTTAAAGTATTTGGTTCACAATTAAGGGAGAGTCTATTTTAAACAAAATATGTTATACTTTTAAATGTATTAGCACATGCAAAAACAATTTTAAAAATATAAAAAAAAATACAGTGAGTCATAAGGAATCTGTTAGGCCATTAATCAGCTCTTTATTATATTCACTAAAAGAGGGACAAAAATATGTAGACAACACAAAGCTATGCATAATACAAAATGTATTTCTCTGAGACTTGGGATATAGCCAAAGAGATTCTTACTTTGTTTCATACCCAGACAACTGGTGTGGAGATAAGCAGTTGCCAAAAAGAATTTGAGATTGTTATAATATGCTAATAGATAATTAATTGGGAATTGATTCTACAAGGTAAAGTAAAACATTTGTTTTATAATTGTGTGATTCTTAAAAGAGCTCACTTAATCTCTTTTATTTTTTCCACAACAGGTATAATGGATCTCTCCCAAATGGTGATAGAGGAAGGAGGAAAAGTAGGTTTGCTTTGTTTAAAAGACCTAAGGCAAATGGGGTAAAGCCCAGCACTGTGCATATTGCATGTACTCCTCAGGCAGCAAAGGTAAACAAATAAAAATAAAAGCTATGTAAACTGGGAAATTGAAAAACTTTTGTGTGTTTCTTATATTCTCTAGCATTCCCTTCACATTCTGTTTCATAAATTTTGTTTGGATTGAAGAACTGCTATCAGAAGGGAAATTTGGCTTTTTATTCTTTTAAAATGACACACCAGGTTCTGTGGATAGAAATTACAAGGAAACATTCCCTTTCCTTATTAAAAGATGTGGATGTAGGGCCAGGACTTTTTATCTGGTAGTGTTTAGAATTGTGTGACTGTCCACCCTGATAAAGAGGGCATTCCTGTTACTCAGGGACATCCCCTGGGCTGGTGGAAGGAGTACGGTGTCTAGTATGCATAATAAGATATCAGATGGACAAGGTAGTGTTTAAACTTAATGATTATCTAAGATTCTGTGGATTTTTTGTTTTTGTTGTTTTTGTCTTGTTTGGGGTATCAGGGACTGAACTCAGGGTACTTAACCACTTAGCCACATCCCAAGCCCTTTTTATTTTTTGAAACAGGGTCTCACTAAGTTGCTAAGGACCTTGCTAAGTATCTGAGGCTGGCCCTGAACTTGAAATCCACCTGCCTTAGCCTCCTGAGTCTTTAGCATTATAAACATGTGCCACTGCACCTGGCTTATTTTTATTTTTGGTTCATGACTGTCATAGGTTTTATTACAGTACCCTGTACATAGAGGACCTCAGTAATTATTAGCTTGAATCAAAGCTATAGAAATAAATATTCAGCTGTAATTTCTCACCCTCCTGTCCTTATCAATGCTCCTTTTCCTTTCCATACCAAAATCTCCAGAAGCTAGACCACCATTTCAGGACACTTGTGCTTTTCCTAGAATAATAGACAAGTAGAGATTTATCTTTACATTTCCTTGTGAATTCCTCTATTTCCAGTTGATACTGTGATAAACAAATAAGAAAAATTACAGATTTGTTTGACTTCAGAAAGTACCTATATCTTTAAATAAGAAGCCTATCCAGTTTGGAGTAACTTCAGAAAGTACCTGTATCTTTAAATAAGAAGCCTATCCAGTTTGGAGTGACTTCAGAAAGTACCTATATCTTTAAATAAAAAGCCTATCCAGTTTGGAGTGCAAAACACAATCCTCAAGCCTTTGCTCTAGGCCTTCTTTATACATTCAAGAGCCAATGAGTGTAGAAAAGGGAGAGTGTCTTTAAGTGATAATTTTTGCTCCTTTGCAGAAAAGGTCTGTGCTGAGCAGTGGTATACGTGAATGGCTTGTGGATCCCAATCTGAGGAGCTTTTTGTGATATTTCTAGTAAGCTCCTGGCATTTGGGGTTTACCAGTTCTTCATTGTACAGGACCATCCACATATTATAGGATATTTAATATTCTTGATCCCCCACCCATCAAGTATTATTTGAGTCCTCAAATCATTGTGACAGCCAAAAAATACACATTTTCAGATGCTTCTTAGCTAGTACCACCTCTGATTGAGAACCACTCTGAGGGAAAATGCTTGTAACTCCAAACTCTGAAATATTGGTTTTTTAACTCTGTAATGCCACTTAGGTTTTTGTTTGTTTGTTGTGGTACTAGGGACTAAACCCAAGGGTGTTCTTCCACTGAGCTACATCCCCAACCTTTTTTTAAGTTTTGAGACAGACACTTGCTAAGTAGCTCAGGTTGGCCTCCAACTTCAGATCTGCCTGTCAGCCTCCAGAGCTACTGGGCTTAAAGTGCTGCACCACTGTACCCAGCATGCCCCTCATGTTTTTGTTGACTCCTTTTTATCTTTACAGGGAATCAAACAAATTTTTCTTTTTAAATTTTAAAAGAATATGTTAGTGAGGTCATGAAGAAAACTTAAATTATTTAGTCTGGAATGAGTGGTTAAAACCTTGCCTTCCAGCCCCATGAGACTCAAACTTGACATAGTTCTTATCCCTAATCTAAGAGTAGGTTCAGTAGTTAAAAAAAAAAAAAAAACTAAAGATTTTAGTCTCAAAGCACACAAAAGACAGCATTTTTAAATACTGAGCAATCATTTGAAAAGTCAGTTGCTTAATGCTGGATTTAAGTATAGATTGTAAAGCATGTGAAAAAAATTATACAATTTTCATGAAACATAAATGTGTAGTAAAAAATATATTAACAACCTGCATGTAAGTGATATACACTGCATTCTTGAGGTTGTATACCTCTGAAGAGAAGGGAAGAATAGGGAGGGACATATGGGCAGGCTCAGTTATATCTGTAGTTAATTTTTTAAAAAAATATATCAGAAACAAAAGCATTGTTAGACTGATAAAGCTGGGTAGATAGAACTCAGATATTTATTCTCCTTCAGTATTGAAAATTAATTATCTTAATCTAAAATTATTATTTTAAAGCTTAATCTGATACAGAGTAGCTAAAAATTGAAACCAGCTAAAATTTTATAATGCCAAACTTCTAATTAAGAAACATTTTTCAGGCTAAGGTTGTAGCTCAGTGGTAAAATGCTTGCCTAACACATGTGAGGTTCTGGGTTTGATCCTCAGCACCACAAAAAAATAAATAAATGAATAAAATAAAGTTATGTGTCCATATATAACAAAATGTTTTTTTTTAAATCAGTTTTCATTTAGCTCCTTTGCTGTGTGTAATCATTCTCTTGTGTCTTTGTATCTTATTTTCCTTTTACTCAACCTGTTTCCACTTCCTTTATGCAATGACTAGGTTTTTCCCCCTCTGATATTATCTTTAGCTCATATACATAAAAAGGGCCTGAAAACAAAACTGAAGAGTTCTTTTTAGCAATGTTTTTAGTTTGGGATAAGTCAGAAGTACAGTCATAAGCTTTAATATCTATTGCCTTTGCTAATATTTAATCATTCTACAAATTTTTCTATATCTAGCCCAATATATATAATATATGGCAAACATTTATCATCTGTATAAGTCATCAAATGATTAGAAAACCAGCTAACCCTGCTGATTGGTTAACTGTACAACTCTTTAAAGGACTTTAAAAATAAGTTTCTTCTTATAAAAATTATTTTCTTCTCCTGTACTGAGAATCAATTTTAGCTTCTATATGGCATTTGGTTTTTATTACTTTATAATTTAAAATACTTTACAAGGGAGATAGATCTTAGAGTTTTTGTTTTTAAAATATGTGGTTTTACTCTGTAACTATTTGAAAATATTCTTCTATACCCTCTCAATCTAAGGAAACTATTGTCATAGCTGAGATTATGCAAGAGTTATTAACCTCGACCTTAAATTTCAGGGGGGAGATACATAAGTGTATCATATATGTGAAAAATAGTTTTACCTTTATTTTATTGGAAAGATTTTTCAATTAACTTGATTGATTTTCTGATTTGCTTTATCTAATATTTGTTATTAACTTTTTTATTCACAGGCAATAAGCAACAAGGACCAGCATAGCATATCATACACTCTATCTCGGGCCCAGACAGTGGTGGTTGAATATACTCATGATAGCAACACTGATATGTTTCAGGTATTATAACATGAATTTTTTTTTCTTAAAAAAAAATAATAGTTAAAAATCTATTGTTGGAGGTTGAGATACATATGGCTTAGTGATAGAATGTGCACTTAGCATGCATAAGGCCCTAGGTTCAATCCCCAGCACCAAAGGAAAAAATATATTGTCAGTAACTTCTGCTGCAGTCAAATTAAGAATTATAATTTTTAATAATGTAGCTCATTAAAATATGTATTGATTTCTGAGCCTTATAAAAGTCATTATGCCATGGTTAAGAGATGGCCTCAATAATCAGAATCCCTGATAAACATTACTTAGCCCTCCGTGTCATCCTTTGTAAAGTGCAGGTAATAGAATCCTCCTCATGGCAGGCTTAAATGAGTTGTGCATGTAAAGTGCTCAGAGCTCTGCTAGCTACTTAGTAAACTCTTAGTAAATGTTAGCTATTAATATCTAAAAAAAGAAACTCAAAAATACTCTGCATGCATTTATGCCCTTTTTTTTTTTTCCCCACTACCTCCCACCTTCCTCCCTAGGCAACAAAAAGTACAGGCAATTTCTAACTATTCATATCAAATATGTGATGTCAAACTTGTTATTACTGGTGCACCTTCATTTTTGTACCAGTCCAGTGCTGATATTTTTATAAACTGATAGTTTACAGAACTGCTAAATCCAAAGATGTAAACAGAAGTCTTAATATCCTCTCCCTTAATACTGGGTTTGCTAAAGAAACTTCAGTAGGACATAAATGTTTCATGATAAATTTTGCTATTATTATTATTGTCCCAGTTATTTTTCCCCTTTTTTTTTTAATTGTACAAGAGTAAATAAAGATGAAAAGTCCCAGAGACACATTTAAGTTTAACCAATAGCAAAATATTTCTTTGAGGTTGGTTTCTCCCTTTAGCCCTTAAATAAGATGCAACACTTCTTTTAGACTAGTGTCTCTGTGGTTAATTTTAGAATGTATTTTTTTGTTTCCTTGTTTTTACCAAAAGTAAGTAAATAATGTCCTTAGTGACATGAAGGTTTGGATCCCAGCATAAACCTAACACAAAGTTTTAGGATGATTTTCCACATTTTATTTCACCACCAAACAATTAAAATGAACTTGTTTAGCTTTTTTTAAATCAAGGTGCTTCTTAGACACTTGATCACAGAATTTTAACTGCAAAAAGTACATTATGTTTATTTGCTCATCCCTTTATCATATGTAATCAATTTCTCCTTTATCATAGAGAGTTTTTCCCAGTATAATAATAAAACTGATTTTGGCCTTTCTACAGGCATTATTCCCATGGAAAATACAAACATTTTTACATCAGAAAACCTAAGATAAATCAGAAATATTCTATTAAATTAGGCAGTCTTCCAGGAACTGGTTTTATAAACGTTTTAGATTATCTGCTTTCTCAACTGAACAAGAACATTTATATTTCAATCCGTCAGACATTCAAACTCCAACTCAGCTTCCTGCCCAGTTGCTATATTGTTGTCTAAATGTGAATGAAGTACAGATTTCTGATAGGGTGGCAGAAGGATGGAGAAGAGACTTCACAGCAGTGCCTATTCATTTGGTCCTTCTTATCAGGTCAAGTAGGATCCTTGCCGGTAACCAGGAGAAAGGCATTCTGGCCAAAGAGTTGGCAGAAAAATTCTGTGCAGTGTGGCAGGAAATTGATGAACAAGCTACTTATTGCTACAATATATACTTGTATACAGAAGTAATAGGAAATTGGGCTGAATTGACAAAAGAGAGGGAAATTCTTAGTAAGTTTCTAACTTATCATAAATAAAAAGTTTGGATAGGCTGTAAGGAACCATTTTCATGGTCATGGGAAAGAGTGACATGAGAAATCTGTAGTTTTAAAGCTAATAGTAGCAATTAAAGGAAGAACTACTGGAGTTTAACATAAAATATTTTGGCATCTGCTCGTGTAGTTTTTCTCTTTATAAATATTTAAGCTTTCTTCCTTCTTACTTGGCAATACCAGTATTGCTTTGAAGTCTTCAGTCTTCTCCAAGGCCCAGATCAAATGTCAACTTTCTAGAACAGTCCAGTGGCTCTTCCCAAACAAATAAATGATGCTTTTGCTTGATCCAAGTATTAATCCCCAGTCTACTCTTTGGCATACATCTTTTGCCTCTAAAAGAGCCTTTTTATTTTTGGAGATATTTTTAGTTTCATAGGTCTGTGGTCATTTTCTTGAGATATCATTAACTTAAAAATAAGCAAAAGGAACATCTAACATTGGTTAACCAACCAACTTTTCCCTAACATTATTCAAACTAAATGTAAAAACTATACTTGTTGATAGGAAAAAAAACACTAAAGAGTTTTATCTAAAAGTATGCTGATATGAGGAACTCTTTTTTTCCATTTTTTTACTGGTGCACCATAATTCTTAATGATTGGGTTTGTTGTTGCTGATATGAGGAACTCTTGAGGCTCAACTATGCAAAGAATGACTTTTAAGAGTCTTTTCAGTATTCACATTCTTCAATTTAATGATACTACTTTTTAACAAATATTAACAGACTGATAATTTCTAAATGTTTAAAACCTTGTAACTCTTGTCACTTTTGTAACCTATTCCAGTGATTTGTTATCTTCTTTTCAACTTTAGAAATGGAATTAATTTATTTATTGCTTAGTAGTTTTGAAAATTTCTCTTATTCTCTAACACCTCACTCATCCAGAATTCTTATCTTGGAACCTTCTCTTCAGAAATATGAGCAAGGGCTGGGGATGTGGCTCAAGCGGTAGCGCGCTCGCCTGGCATGCATGCGGCCCGGGTTCGATCCTCAGCACCACATACAAACAAAGATGTTGTGTCCACCGAAAACTGAAAAACAAATATTAAAAATTCTCTCTCTCTCTCTTTAAAAAAAAACAGAAATATGAGCAAGAACCAGCAAGAAAATCTATGCAATATAAAGTAAATGCCACAGAGTCTCACTGAAATTCCTTTTTTTGTGCTTCTTAGAGAATCCCTTAGGCTCTAAGAACCTTTTGCAATGCTGTTCTTTAAAGTTGGTTATTTGATTTCTCAACCCATATCAAAATAAGAAAAGCTGGTTAGAGGGGGAAATAATATCACTTAAATCAAGAAATGATAGCTGATAACTTAGCAAAAAAGGAAGTGGGAAAATCTGTAAAGTGTACAAAAGACCTCAAAACAAGGTCACTCAAGCCTTTAATGTAATTATCTTATAGCACCTGAAGACATCCTTGGATTGCAGCATTCTGTAAATGGTAGTCAATGGTGTAATGTTCTGGATACATCATACAGGATTTGCTTAAATATTCAATATATCCTGTTAAACAAGGGAGAATAATAAATGGTAGATGTATTTCCACCCAAAAAGGTTATAGTCTGCAACCATCTAGAAATATCAGTTATCCTGAATTCTTCATACTCTGAGGGTTTTATAAATTCTGTCATAAGTTCCCACTTTATTCGGTACTGCAAATGATTACTACACCATAGAGAGTCTGAAAGATTCGTTTTCAAGGGTATAGATGCCCCCAAAGTTAAGTATGCTAAGTTTGAGTTAGAAATTTCAGTCTTAATTTTTTCACCTTAACATTTCACTTTTCTTGAGTAGATTTTTCCACTGTTTCTTCAAATAAGTTTATAGATATTTCTTTTTCCCTCAGATTGGTCGGTCGACTGAAAGTCCTATTGATTTCGTTGTAACTGACACGGTTCCTGGAAGTCAAAGTAATTCTGATACACAGTCAGTTCAAAGCACTATATCAAGATTTGCCTGTAGAATCATATGTGAACGGAATCCCCCCTTTACAGCACGGATTTATGCTGCAGGATTTGATTCATCAAAAAACATTTTTCTTGGGGTAAAAAGCTTTTTTCCTAAATGATGCATTCTTTTATACCAGCTTCTATTTCCAAATTAAAAATAAATGTGAGGTCACTACTATTATTTCTATAGGAAAAGGCTGCCAAATGGAAGACATCCGATGGGCAGATGGATGGCTTAACCACTAATGGTGTTCTTGTGATGCATCCACGTAATGGGTTCACAGAAGACTCCAAGCCTGGAATATGGAGAGAAATATCGGTGTGTGGGAATGTATTCAGCCTGCGTGAAACCAGATCAGCTCAACAGAGAGGAAAAATGGTAAATACTGAATTCTAGTTTCTTATTTAGCCACCATCAGTACATAGGATAAGTTGGACTGAACACATTATGTATAGTCAAAAAAAAACCTTAAATCTATCGCTGATAAAGAGAACTGAGTCTGAGTGTCAAATACACTACCAGATTCTATATTAGAAGATAACATCTCGTTGTTTCAATTAGGAAAATATAAGGATTTTGTCTGTCATATTATGTCAATAGATTTTAAAACTCAAGCTTTCCTCAATGAAACAGCACTGTAACCTTTCTTTGGTCTAAATATCTTTGACCATTTTTACCTAATTGGAAATATTAGGCTTCTTGTTTAGCTAGATGTTTTAATCGTAAGTTGTCCTCGAGAATAAAGAGATGTTACTGCTCAGTATTTTATCCTTAGTTTTCAAACTTAGATCTTTCATGACTTTCCCTTTTATGTAAAAATCCAAAACATAGTAGTGAATGCACTTTTTTATTTTTATTTTTTAATCTCTAGGTGGAAATTGAAACCAATCAGTTACAAGATGGCTCATTGATTGACCTCTGTGGTGCAACATTGCTGTGGCGTACTGCAGAAGGCCTTTCCCACACTCCCACCGTGAAGCATTTAGAAGCTTTAAGACAGGAAATCAACGCAGCACGACCTCAGTGCCCTGTAGGGTTCAACACATTAGCATTTCCTAGTATGAAGAGGAAAGATGTTGTAGATGAAAAACAACCATGGGTATATCTAAACTGCGGCCATGTACATGGCTATCATAACTGGGGAAACAAAGAAGAACGTGACGGAAAAGATCGTGAATGTCCTATGTGTAGATCTGTCGGTCCCTATGTCCCTCTGTGGCTTGGATGTGAAGCTGGATTTTATGTGGACGCTGGCCCTCCAACACATGCATTTAGCCCTTGTGGGCATGTGTGTTCAGAGAAGACAACAGCCTATTGGTCCCAGATCCCGCTTCCTCATGGTACTCACACTTTTCACGCAGCCTGTCCCTTTTGTGCACATCAGTTGGCTGGTGAACAAGGCTACATCAGACTCATTTTCCAAGGACCTCTAGACTAACAGACAGTTGTCCTCCAGGACTACATTATAAATTTATAAGCTAAGTGATTTGGGTTTTGCAACCTGTTGTTCACGTCACAGTTTCTCTGCTCTGGTCATTTGCATTAAGATGAAGAATTTTTTTAAAAATTTATAAAAAATAGTAGCAATTTCTGAGCAAAATCGGGGAAACTCAAGCAAAGGAATTTTTGAAAGTTCCAGACTTCTGAATTACGATCTTTGAAAATATATTTTGAGGAGAAAAAGACATAGTCTAATTTGATGCCTTCATTTTAGTGTTTTTGAATCACCCATCCTCAGTGTCGAGAAATTGTTTTGTATAACTGAGGGTACTGCTGGTTCAAACTATGTTAGTTTACAGTTTGTTGCAAACATTGTAAAATACAGCAACATGTATATTAACTTTTTTCTATTTATCTTTATTTTAGAAAATATCTTAGAACGTTCTTGATAGTGTAGCATGGTAATGATGGCGTCACACCGTGTGTGTGAATGGTAGTTTAGTGAGCACAAATCTCAAGGATTTGCAAACTTAGGAAGAAGAACAAGAGAGCCTCTCTCCCATTTCCCATCTAAATATGTGATTTGGTAAATTAGAATACTTTATAAAATCAGGTTCACATTAATTACCATTGTCTAAGAAGTGTTTGTTTTTAACCACATTGAAGATAATCAGGAAAGATTTTTTTTTCCTTAATGTTTCTCTCAAGTGTAGTACTACAACAAAAACTTAATGCTAAGAAACATTTTATATGCTCCTTTGAATATGCAATTTAATCTAGATTATCTATTTTTCTCCCATGATAATTAACCTGTTTTTAGTATCAGCAACATTTGGCAAGTTTATTTTTTGGATATAAACTGTGGTTCATCTGTTCAGTGTTTCTAGAAAAAAAAAAATCATTCCCATGAGAAAAATATAAATTAACAAGAAAGGAGAGTGACTTGATTTGCTTTTAGAAAAAAAAATGCTTAGTTAATTCTGTATTTGGCTTTATCTGGGCATTAGAAAATTTAGAGATAGAGGGTTAAAGAATGATGATAGTGCCCTCCACTTTTAACCTAGCAGACCAGCCTTAACTGTGGACTTGAATCCTAATAAGAGTTGCCACAGTGTGACTCAAATAAATGTTTGGTTGGCAGATGCTCACCAGTGACAGCAGAGTTGAGGGATACACTTGCAAGGTCTGTTTATTCTCTTTAACTCCAGTAAGTACTTTGCTTTCATAAGTAAGAAAAAGTTTCTTCTCCTTTGCCCTAATCTTTTTTCTAAATGTGCCACAAGAAAAGTATAGATAGTTGCACTACATCAAACCCTTTTTGACACTTGTAGAAATCAATACATTTTCAGATTTTGACAGAATAGTTTTTTAGTCATTTGATTTGTTTTCCTTTAATTTGAAAAGTTGTATGATACTTAATTGACTAGCAGGTTTTTATATGTGGTAGCATAGCTTTAATTTATCCTATTACATTGCTGTTATATTTTAGGGGGGTTAAAAAAGCAAAACTTGTCACTTAGAAGCCATGAACTATTTTATTTTACTTTGACTGTCAAAATTCCTTGTTTTTAAAAATGATCATTGAGTTCACTCAGGAAATGCATGTCAGGAAACTTGTATTATAAGTTTATTAGTTGTGATGTATCAGTAACTATTGTTACCCCTTTTTCAAAGAAACATAATGATTCTGAATTTTCTAGATTGTCACATGCTTTGTGACTAATGCAAGGAAATCAAGTCCTGTGTTGTATTTGTTCTAGTCCTTTCTATTCAGGCTATATACTGTAGCTTAATTTTTATTTGCAATTAATTTATTCAAACTAAGTAAATACTTTCCAAAATAGATATTTGAATTTGTGTCTTGCCTTTTTGCATAGTGGAGAATGGAAACCATAGTCGAGACTGGACAGATCTGCCCAACACAAGTCTCTGGTTCTCTTTGGAAATCTTCTCTTAATAATAGAGGGACATGATAGTGGTTTAATAATGAAGACCTTTTCTAAGTCAAGTCCTGCTAGAGAGTTGGTTCTACACAGGTTGCATACAGGGCTATTTAAAATAGTGCCTCAGTAACTATAAAAGTTTCATCTTCTTCCCAAAGTGCCTGAATTTCCTCCTAGCATCTGGGAATAACATGGTTCATTTTATATCAATTTTAAACTTTAAATACTCAAGCAATGTAAATCATTAGGTGTTTGCTGTTTAGCATTTTGAGTAATAGTTCTGTCATTTTTCCAGTACCTAATAGAACACTTTTATTTATTCATTCAGCTGTATTAAAGAAATGTCAGTATTCTGGCCAAGGAGGAGAAAAGGCTGTATTTAGGTCTCTTAAATGCATTCTTGAGAAAGATAATCCTAGCCGGTCCTGGTGGCACACACTTGTAATCCCAGTGGCTCAGGAGGCTGAGTTAGGAGGATCTTCAAGTTCAAAGTCAAACTCAGCAATCTAGTAATACTCTTGACTCCCTCTCTCAAGATAAAAAGGGCTGGAGAATACGGCTCAGTGGTTAAACGCAACTGGGTTGAATCCCTTGGGCTTAACTTTTATGAAAGCAATTTTGCATTTAAAAGTTCATCAGTTTATACAGATGTTCAGTTTCCCTAATCTAAAATGCTACAGTCTAGAGGTAAAACATCATGAAGGGCAGATATTGAGAAACAGGAGTCTGTCTTTGCTCAGAGTATTATCCCTGTAGCAAATCAGATCAGCAAAACTCTACCTAACTAAACTAAGATCTTAACACCCCCGCTTTGACTCTTATATAAGTATACTGTAATGCCTTGACCTCAAATTTTCATCTACTCGTTTTTATAGCAGATACTGAATAGCTAGTATGCACCAAATTCTGTTCTAAACATTAGGTGATAAGCAGAAGAAAAAGAACCCTTCCACCTTGGGATTTGTAATCAGGTGATAAAGATAGAAATGAGCAAGAAAAAAATTTAAAATGTAACATGATAGTGAACTGTGCTGAAGAGAAAAAGCAGAAAAGGAAAATAAATAAGTTATGTACTGGTGGGGAGGGATAGTGTTTTGAAATATGTAGGAGGTCCAGGGAACCTTCCCTTACTGGGAAGGTAGTAGTTGACTAAAGATTTGAAGAAGCTGAAGGGTAGGGCTACTTAGGAGAGCATTTAGGCAGAAGAAACAACCATCACAAGGGCCCTGGAATGGAAACTTTTCTGAAATATTTCTATAATAGCAAAGAAGCCAGTGTGGCTAAAGTGGTATGAAAAGGGGAAGAGTAGTAGATAAAGATGAAGTAAAATGACAGGTTAAAGGTGGAGGGAATTGGGATGGATCTAGATCATGAGGCACCACCTGAGAATGTAGCTTTTATTCTGAGTAAGATGGGAGCCATAGAGGGTCTAGGGCATGAGAATGAGAGTGACATGATCTAAAACAGTGAAGGGGATAGGCAGTAATTCTGGAGAGAAATACACAGTGGCTTGGATCAAGGCGGTGACAGTGGAAATAGTTTGAGAAGTGATCAAATTCTAGATGTTTTTGCAGGTAGAACCAATGGCATTTGCTGGAAGATCAGGTATGATGTGTGAAGGAATCAACAACGGCTCAGGGCTTGGGGTGTAGCTCAGTGACATAGTCCAAGGCCCTGGATTCAATCCTCAGCACCAATACAAAATAAAGGGGAAAAAAATGCTTAGCTCAATCAGCCTGAGCAACTGGAAAGATGGCACCAACAGTTGTTTGAGGGGAAGAGTCCTCTGGCAGTGGATTCAGGAAGTAATCGGACATTTGATTGAGCCTCTTATTAGAAAAGATTTTTGCCAAAGTTGGAATGCCTTTACTTTCCTTAACTGCTATCCAAGTTCTCAGTATACTAAAGATCATTATGATGAGTGTTCTCTATATATATATCTTGCTAGCCCAGTATATCTCATGCTAGCTTAGAAATAAACCAACAAAACATATTCCTCGTGATTAATAGTGGACTTCCTCTCATAGAAGTAGGAGAGTTGGGACAGCACTCGTGTTTCTGTCTTCGCTTTGGCTGCCCTCTAAGGAAATATGTTCTGTTTTCAGCTGCAGTCAGTAACTTCCTTTTGCTAAAGTCTTCTGATAGTTTTTCTTTATTCTCATCCATATCCATCTTTTTACTTGACTCTTGGCTTTTAAAATAAATATTTCTCAGTTTTTCTGGATTTTAATAATTTGTTGCTTCAAATCCTTTATAAAAGGCAGTGGCAGAGCAAAAGTGTTTCTTTTTTTCAGAAATTTTTTTGTTTTTTGTGTAAACATTGAACTATTTGTGGCAAACAATTGGAGGGGGTGGTACTAGGGATTAAACTCAGGGGCACTCAACCACCAAGCCACATCCCCAGTTCTATTTTGTATTTTATTTAGAGACAGGGTCTCCCTGAGTTGCTTAGCCCTTCACTGTTCCTGAGGCTGGCTTTGAACCCACAATCTTCCTTTCTTAGCCTGCCAAAACACTGGGATTACTGGCATGTGCCACTGCGCCCTAGCAGCACACAGAATTCTTGAACCTATTTTATAAATCCAGACTTTAATATCCAGTTTCCCTGAAGTAATATGCCTCTCTCTGATCATTATCAACAGAAAATAAATAAGATCAAGAGTTTTCTTAATAATTGTCAAAAAGTATCATGTCCAAACATGGTACTAGTGATGTGATGGGAATGCAAGGTTCTTTAGGGTGATAGTAAATTGTAAACCCAGCTATGTAAGTCAAAAGTTAAGCCACAGTATAAAATAAATTTGTCACAGCTAACATTTGAGTGTGTGTGTCAAGCACTGTTTGCACCATACTAATAATATTAGTGGTATTATTTAAAACTCAGCCCTGTGAGGTAGGATCTGTTATCTCTATTTTATAATGATATCAGCCACAGCAATGTAACTTGCCCAAGGTTCACGACTTATAACTAACCAAAGGACTCAGAATTTGAACTTTGGAAGTCTTACCCCATTTGTGTGTACACAGCCACTACATTCTGCTGCTTCCCCATTTTAATGATGAAATACATTGAAGAAATTCTTTTGCAAGTTGATATGTATCATAGTCATATGATACTTATTGAGCCACACAGTAAATGCTTAAAAACTATTTCTTGTATAGTCAGAGAAAACTGAGAACTTCTAAACTACTGAAACACTCTTGAGTTAGGAGGGTTAGCAAAAATAGTGAAAAGGAAAGAAGGTTATAGAAGCTGTTTATGTGATCAGAAAATGCATTTACCTTGGCTGGACAAGAGACAAAAGCAGGAAAAGGAGGAGACTACAAAAAGTGACACTGACTGGAAGTTTGACAGGGCAAACTTGTAAAGGATTCTCATGGAGAAGTGAAGAAATATCAATTATAGCCCAAAAGTATGTCATCCAGACATTTCATTTTGAGACCCTATGATTAATAAGAAAAACACAGAAGGCAGCTAATATTAAAAGGGAAAATTAAGATTACTGTAGATATTCCTGAAGTATTAGCATGTTTTTAATGTTATTGTATTTTTTATGCCTTTATTTATGTGATGCTGAGGATTGAACCCAGTGCTTCACACATGGTAGGTAAGCACTTTACCACTGAGCTACAATTGCAGCCCTAAAGTATTATATCTTTTTACTGTATAACTATTTATCTTAAATAGAATATAAACTAGCTGTGATCTTGGAACTCAGGCTATGGGTGAGGAAACCAAGTCCTAGTCAGGTGAAGTGATCATTGATTTGACAGATCTGGTAGTAGAACCTCAATCCCCCGTCTACCCTGATTATCATAAATTTGAGTCATCCAGCCTCAGGAATATTCCCATGTTTTGATTATTTAAGCAGACGTTTAATAGCTTTTATTTGCATTTAATAGCTTTTATTTTTAAATTACAAGTGTCTGCAGAGTGAAAATAACTTGTTGTCATGTGAACAATGATTTCCAAGTCTAAGGGATGGGCTGCTTCAGATTTCATTGAAAAGGTTGCCTAGTTTGGAAATGAAAGACAAATGTGAAAGAGTTGTGCTGGGCACAGTTGCTCATGCCAGTAATCCCAGCTACGCAGGAGGCTGAGGCAGGAGAATCACTTGAGTCCAGGCCATTCTGGGCAACATAGGAAGGCCCTGTCTCAACGAAAACACAAAACAAAATCTCTGGAAGTTTCCCTTGCAGCTCTTTGGTACTCTACATGAATCATTTCAAATCATCCACTCATTCATTGACAAGGCTCTTTATTTTTCTACTTACAGTGAAATGAAAGTTATTTTGCATACCACACCTCTCTTAGGAATGCAAGGCATTCAGGTAGTTTTCAATTGTACTTGGCTTCATTAAATTCCTTTTAGAAAATTATTTGAAATAGAAATGAAAATGATATAATAGTTATTATACTGTCAAGCAACAACAACAATAAAAATCTCAGTTCACAATAAGAATAAGAATAATCTGAATACCAAGTACCCATAAAGTTGAGTAGATTTTGAACCATGAAGGGCAAATCCTTAAGTGGAGAGACAGGAGTTGGATTGGATCAGGTGCACAGAGAAAAGAGAATGAGAGAGTGTGGTAGGTTGTTAGGTGTCTATAGTTAGAAGCTCCTAGAGCAAGAATAGGCTCAAGTGGCAGCTGAGAAGGAGTAGCAGCTGTGGGTGTTGGTAAGATCTTAGAATCCCTAAAGTAATAACCTCCAAAGTCAAGTTTGTACAGGGATTGAGGAGGGAAGGACAGGTAGCTTCTGAAAGAGAGGTCCAAGAGTATCTTCCCCCCACCCCTACACACAAACACACCGGATTGCTCCCAACTAGAATTAGTATTGCTTCTCAAAATGACTAATTTGGCTGGGCACACCTGTAATCCCAGGACTCATTGGAAGCT